AATTAACTGTAGTAGCAGATTCGATTGGAATGTTCTCAGGCTATAGCAGAAGATTATTTCATATGTTGCGATTTAGTCGACGTTTCAAGTAAATATAGTTTTTGTCGATATTTTTTCTTGTTACAAATTGTCCGTTTTTTGCTTTTTTTTATTTTAAAGCAATATATATTTGTGTACACGTGATTCATGGTAAACATGTCGTTCAAATAAACACATCAGTTTGACTGTGTATCGTTTTGATTGAGCAGTCGTTTATGATAGAAAACACAGCAACTCACTAACACAAATCGAACAAATACAAAATTGCTTAGCTGAAAGACGTTACTGTCGTTGGACTTACGTCGACAAAAGGAATATTGAAAACTCCGGAAGATTATCGTCTGCTATTATTACATACTAATTGTCTGTATTGCAGGACCATATTGATTCATTACACTTTGGATCCGTGCCTGTGTCCGGTACTGACATTGTCAACCAGGTAACCATGTTTCAAAATATTTACTTGCACAAAAATAGGCTTTGCTTATAACATGATTAGGTTTTCAAACAAGAAGCTTAGCAACTAATATATTTCTGCTATTTGAGACACGCAACGTGAAAAAAATGTGAACCAAATTAGATTTTACATTAGTGGTTGTCAGTCTAATTTATTCCAGACCACATCTAGCACAGGTTCAATTTAAGTCTGATTTTTTGAGATATCAGGAATGGGCTAATAATAATTAGATATTCGTGCATTTTTTCAACACTAAACTAATCACGTTTGTGCATTACACCAGCGCAATGTGAGGATTGCACATTATAAAAATTAGGCAATTATTATGCACAGATTTCAAGCAAAAACTATTTAGGTCAGTGTAGTGTTCCAGGGCACATATTTAACAAGTTTCATTATAATGCTATGATAAATTCTCAAGGAAATCCTTGAAAAGCCTGAAATTATTTTTATTCAAATCAGGTAATTATTATGAATGTATATCAACATAAAACGTATTTGATCGTCGCATTGTCGTTGAAGTAAGTTGATAAGTAATTATGGTACTGATAGAAAAGGCTAAAAACTGATTAATTTAGATATTGAAATTTGAATATGATTCTTAAGATTCAATGGAAGAGATAGACACGCACATACTTACTTGTATTGCTATATATTCCGAAGAATCCATTGGATTAACATTAAATATAGTAATGTTAATTTAACTCCTAAAATAGTTGCGTTATGTTTGGATGAGAACGCGACACTATAGGGTTTTATTTCAGCTTCAATTACATAGAAGTTCAAAAAATGGAAAGAAACATCTTGATCCTGTTACTTATTATAGCTTATGTGTAGGGGTATAGCACAGTTATATCAATGTTTCTATAAACTGTACCACACCTTATGTATTTTACTAACCCTAAGCTACGCAAACGTATGTATATGTTGATTTCATTAATAATATAAATTATGTTTTTCGAGGAATATGAAAAACATCCTCGTGTTGACTAATGGTGTCGAACGAATCATCTCCCGTGATCTGGTAATTGGAATAAAACAAGTTGTCATTGAGTGGACCGGGTCCGGCATCTATAAATTTATTGTCGAAAATTATTTGATATCATCCACATCTATTTTGTTTTTATTTTTCTGAATTGCCGAGTACTGCAATCAAAATGTTTCAAATGAAACCACTTTCAACAGCAGTGTTTACAACGTATAATCTAAAAATTCAAAATGCGATATTATTTCAAAATATAGCCATATGAAACGTCCAGTCAAGCGAAATAATAATCAGTCCAAGTAAAATGTGTATATTAATCATATCTTAGCTTTGTATTTGGGTCGACGGGGGTATTTTATTTCTCTTCCTTGGTAAACATATGTATTTTATATTGGTTCAGCTTTACCAGTTTGATCTTCATTCCCGGGAATCGTCTTACACGGTATAGTAACAGTATTTAGGCCTTTCGAGAGAGCTCACAATCCATTATTAAAATTGTATATTACTAGTATTCTCATTGGTATGTAGATTTTTTGCTTAGTTTTCCAGAAACCGATGTAGATAGTGAAATCTACGTTAAGGTCTGCATCTATATAGTGATTTGTGGGTCGGACCTAAGAGTGTTATATCTTAATTCCTGGCAGGTGAATTATCAGTATCCTGCTAATCGCACAGAAACAAACTTCAGTGATTTTCGTGGACGAATGAATAACTTTTAATATGTGTTCACATTGAATTTTCAAAATGCGTTTTTGTTTAATTCATATCAACGAATAATTAGGAACTATTTTGGACAGCAAAAGGCTTATTATCAAAATGTAAAACTTAAGATGGTTGGTGACTAATATTGGTCTGCTATTTGAAATACATATTAAAGCAATGTGATCAAATGTATTAAATTGATAAGTTATATGAGGTTTTCCGATTGTTTTTTATATATCAGAAATTGGCTAATAAAAATACATAATAAATATGTTTTGTTTAATCACTTCTGTGAAGTATATATGTATCAATTAGGTATGCTCGACTCCAAACAAATCAGGCCTTTGAACTGTCATTGAATGGTTTATACTTATCACACACAAATATAGTATTTTGACTGTGTTATATTCAGCTATCGTTCTTCACGTCGCCTGATCCATCATCGACGGCATCTTAGGTTAATTGTGTGAAACGTATCTTAGTATGAAACTGAATACAGGTTGGCGGCAATTGTGTAATATCGTGTAACAAGGATAGTGTCGGATAGTAAACCTGCTCGGGTATTGTTTTCTGCACCAAGTTAGAAGTTATATATAAAATTATAAAGTGTGTACAGGCTTTATTTATATTTCTTCTGCAATTTTTCTGAATTTGTATGAAAGTCAACAAAAATAGCATACACATGTATATTTCATGTGGTAGCGTAGTTATAAAATGATGTTATATTTAAAAAAATACCAGGATTTGGGATTGTTATGTGTAATGATTAACTGCAGGGCTTCGACTATCTAACAACCTAAAACCGTCAATGCGTTCAGGAAAATGGAAAAGACGATGTTCGTTTGAAGTTGTTCTAGTCCGGTGTGTGTGGAAGTGCTTGATGCGGTGCGCCGATGTTAAAAGTATCAGGTCGACAAAGACAAGAAAAGTGTCTTTTTCACTTTTGATATCATTCAATATCGTTTCGACGTACACACGTTAAATTAAAGGTATAGAACAAACAGACTAAGTTGATAGGATGTACTCACTCTCTTCGAAACATCTGACAGCACATATTAGCTGATTGACTTACTTGTCCTTGTGTTGTGTTGTCGCCTTTTTTTGATATTCGACAAAGTGCTTGTGGATGACGATTTTGTCGGAGTTTGTTTTTGACATTTGCTACTTTTTACTAACATTTAATACTACAAAAACACAATTAAAAAATGTATTTACAAGTGCCATCAGTTTGAAATGTGTTAAGTATAGTGTGGCAAATAACAGAGAGACAGAGCACGTACCTTTTTTTATTGATATTTGCATTTATTTAGATGAAGCTAGCAGTACAACAGAAAGTTTCGTCCACGATTCACGCTCTGGAAAATATTCGCGAGGCCGTGGAAAAATCTTTTGTACAATCGGAAATTGAGTTCACTCCTTGTTGTGAAATGCCCGATGACATGGAGTTAAACACGGCGTTTGGGAAAGCGGTGAGTACACAATGACTCGTGCTACATAGTCTAGAGTGCAATTAAATGATGGAAGATAGTTACAGCTTACTCTTACATTTAATACACTCACAGATCTTAATCGTCGAAAATTATTCGCTGTCCACGGTGCAGTAAAAAATACTCACATTGAACCTCGATTCATGCACTATATCTCACTGCAGGTGAATCTAAGCATTGGTTGTATAAGGATTGCTGACAACGCAGAACCCAATTCAGGTTTTCTTTCATACGATGTCATAGATGTAATGAAGAACAATTACGATTCATTTTCAAATCTTAAATGGCAATATTTCGGCACCGACGAGGGTGTATTAACTATTTATCCTGCTTCCCTGATAGATGGATGTGACAACTATGATCATAGGTTCAGGTAAGTTAGTAACACATTCTGTAATGGTTATAGTTAATTACATACAAGCATAAACGACAAACCTAGGGCTACATAGCTGTTCCACACCTGAACTGGGTGCACGTTGACAATATCATTAACCAACGAGCAAAATGTACACACATATGAAAACGTTGTTGGAGTAATGTGTACCAAAGCAAATTTCTCTATCTGTCTAGATAACTGGTAGTAAGCAATAAATTGGATCTCTTCATATGGTCTTACAACATTACTACAAAATTGTATTTACTGACTACTAAGAAAAAAACAACATGATGATAATCTTAAATGGTAATGTGTCTCATTCATTCATCAATTCAGGCCCTGGTACGTAAAAGCTGCAACACCAGAACCTAAAAATGTTGTTATTGTAATAGATAAAAGCTCACCAATGACCGAAGTACAGTCTGGAAAAAGCTTATTAAACATAGCCCAAAATGCCGCAATTACAGTACTAAAAACCCTGAATCTATATGATAAGGTAATAACGTAATTCACAATTTGCTAAACTATTTATAGAACATAGTTGACAGCTTTGAATGCAATTGTTAATATTCTATGTGAGCAAATATATCTCCTAGTAATTGATGTATATCTCTATTGTTTGTCGTCAGGTTGGGGTGATAGCATTTTCCAACAATGCGGTGTTGCTGCCTGTAATTGGAGACAGTAGCTGTTATGCAAATGAACTAGCATTACCTACTACAGCCAATATAGAGAATTTAAAACAATTTGTTCAATCTTTGGCAGCTACTGGTGAGATTTTTTTCACGTGCACATTTTGCAATGGACTTGTCCAACTAGTCTCATTATGTCACTTATATTTTGCCATGTTTATTAATTTAACACATAGGGGAGGCATACTATGAAATAGCATTTGATGCAGCGTTTAACTTACTAAAAGCATCGTACATACTGGATAACGACACCGAACGAGGTAAGTAAACGTTAAATATGAACTGCCTATTAGACAATGCACATTGCTTGTGTTTTTGTATACGCCCTCTAGCGTCATAGACGTAATGTGGCACAGTCAGCAAAAGCTTAATATTGCTCAAGTTATTAGTCAAGCAGAATATATATATATATATATATATATACTGTGTGTGTGTGTGTGTGTGTAAATGTGCCTACTGAATATATTTCCATAATTCGCATCAAAAACATTTCATTTGTAGACCAGGTAATAATCTTTATGACTAAAGGCGAACCTTTTGATGAAAAGAGTAGCGTCATGCAAAAAATCCGTTCAAAGAATGCTGAAATTGGGAACAAAGTAGTCATTTTGCCGTTTGCTGTTGGCTCAGGTGAGATTCGCGAAAGATTATTTAAAAACAATTATTTTAGAACTATTGATCATATGCCTCCACGTTTTGAGTATATCTTATTGTAGTACGTAACTTCTCAATAGTATTGTTGTCGCTATGCAGACTAGTAAGCAGTCATAGACTATGTATATGCATATAAGTAGTGGCAACAATTGTATTTACATATAAATTAGTAAACAACAATGAATGCATTTATATGTAGATTAGTTAGAAAAGATTCCAGTGCTTTCTCTACTGTCAGTTCCAAAGTAGTAGTAAAACACAAATACAAAACAGCTGCAGTTGTTCTTGTTTCAAATTTATTTGTTTCATGTCTTTTTTCTTTAGAATCTGCAATCACATTGTTGAATGATATTGCAAACCAACACTTTGAACCGTATGGAGTCGAGGAAGCAAATATTAGCATTGGAGAAATTAAGGTGAATACTTAAACATATTTACAAACAAAACAAAAAATCAAAAAGATGATGTAATTGTGCTGCGATTAACACGTATACAATACTAAATGTGTTTAGAACGGTTTTATTTCAGCCAGGTTTTGTTACACAACTGACAGATTACAATCTACCTCGCAGTAAAATGGCTAGATTTTATGATTATTTTGCAAACTATAATAAGCTGACTGATGGGCCTATGTTTTCAGTGCCATATCAAGATCGCTTTGGACTTGGTAAGTGAATTAAAAGCTTGTGTATTTAATCAAGTGGTTATTATATGTGCTCGAGTTTCTCTCAAAACGAAATGTATTTTAAATATTCAAATAAAGAATGACGTTTGCATTTTTTGTAGGTATAGTGACAACAGCAGCAATGCCTGTGATAACTCGGCAGGAACAGAAGGGAGTTGTTGGCGTTGACATAACTTTAACTGATCTATTAGAATATGTTAATTCCTTCACAGAGGGACATAATTCGTACGCATTTGTTTTTGAAACCGACAGATTAGCAAACGGTCAGTAACGATTATATCTGTAAAGCGTTCCAATATACGATACTACTCTATAATTTAGATGTAATATTACTATTATACACTATGAGTAATAGCATTCTAACGTGTTGTCTGCTATAAAGCTAACATTGGTGTATGATCCCTCCACAGGACGTACATTGATTCACCCATTGTTACCGTCGCCGTCAGTCATTAAAAAGAACGTGATGTATGTGCACATTACTTCACTAGAAAGAGAGCAGGATTTTTATGACTATGTGTACATGAATGCCACAAAGTAAGCAAATCTATCTATATTCCCATGGAACGAGATGTACTGACTGGCAAAACAAATGGTCTAACACAAGTTTCTTTCTTTGTTCATCATATTGTTATTTTTTATCAGTGATGGTTCAGGCGGGGAAGCGACATTTACGTCAAAACGTTATTTTTCACGAGGAAATCAAAGGACAGAGGGCGCCAGTACGATTTCCGTACCATCCACCTATTACTGGCGACGTGTGAGTATATACATGCATGACCATAGTAACCATAGTAGGTACATTTTCTTTATATGGATATGTTTCATCAAGCGTGTAGTTTAAATAAGATTGTAAAATAAAAGTGTTGAAAATATTTATCTTAGCTGTTCAAAGAGTGTTATCTAAATTATGACAGAATTTCCCATCTACACGTTGTTGTTTTACAGGTCATTGGTTCAAATTATATTGTATGTTTTGTAGAGACTGTTGGTGTCCACATTGTAGAACTGCTGGATCGGAATTTCCAAGCATCTGGTAAGCTTTGATTAGTCTTCCAAATGTGTAGCATTTTCCCTGCAATATGTTTAATAACGCCTATTTGTTCAATATAACATAATAAACTTTTGCATTATATAAAATAAAATGATTTTTGCACTATATAAAATTCTTGTCCTGAAAGTTAACTTCACATCAACAATG